ATAGATGGATTCTTTGACCATTGGATGGTGTTCCAAGAAGGAGGATTGCTAGGCAGAGACGGGCTCCATCTAATGAAGAGAGGGAAGAGTATCTTCGCAAGCAGGCCAGCTAACCTAGTGAGGAGGTTCACCGGGGGTAGGAGACCAAAACCCTGAAGTAAGTGGGGAAGTGGGATACCAGGAGGAAGCATGAGCAGGAGAGCGTATGAGGGGAGGATTCCTGCCTCATACTGAGAAAGCAGGACAATCAGTGAGTTATATTAAGTGCCTATATACAAACGGAAGAAGTCTGGGAAACAAGCAGGGAGAACTGGAAGTCCTGGCACAGTCAAGGAATTATGATGTGATTGGAATAACAGAGACTTGGTGGAATAACTAACATGACTGGAATACTGTCATGGATGGATAAAAAAACTGTTCAGGAAGGACAGACCAGACAGGGCAGAAAAGGTGAGGAAGTTGCACTGTATGTAAGAGAGCAGTATGACTGCTCAGAGCTCCAGTATGAAACTGCAGAAAAACCTGAGAGTTTCTGGATTAAGTTTAGAAGTGTGAGCAACAACCGTGATGTTGTGGTGCGAGTCTGTTATAGACCACCAGACCAGGGGGATGAGGCTATCTTCAGGGAACTAACAGAAGTTACTAGATCACAGGCCCTGGTTCTCATGGGGGCTTCAATCACCCCGGTATCTGCTGGGAGAGCAATACATCAGTTCACAGACAATCCAGATGAGAGGAAAACAATGGACGTGTTATTACTTGACTTTAGCAAAGCTTTTGATACAGTCTCCCACAGTATTCTTGACAGCAAGTTAAAGTAGTATGGGCTGGATGAATGGACTATAAGGTGGATAGAAAGCTGGCTAGATCCTCGGGCTCAACGCGTAGTCATCAACAGCTCAAAGTTTTTGGAAAGTGTAGGGGACAACTTCCTGGTGCAAGTGCTAGAGGAACCAACTAGGGGGCCGTGCTCTTCTTGACCTGCTGGTCACAAACAGAGAAGAATTAGTAGGGAAAGAAAAAGTGGATGGGAACCTGGAGGAAGTGACCATGAGATGGTCAAGTTCAGAATCCTAACCAAAGGAAGAAGTGAGAGCAGCAGAATACAAACCCTGGACTTCAGGAAAGCAGACTGACTCCCTCAGGGAACTGATGGGCAGGATCCCCTGGGAGAATAACATGAGTGGGAAAGGAGTCCAGGAGAACTGGCTATATTTTAAAGAATCCTTATTGAGGTTGCAGGAACAAACGATCCCGATGTGTAAAAAAAAATAGTAAATATGGCAGGCGACCAGCTTGGCTTAACAGTGAAATCCTTGTTGTTCTTAAACACAAAAAAGAAGCTTAGGCTGGGTCTACACTACCCGCCTGAATCATAGAATCATAGAATATCAGAGTTGGAAGGGACCTCAAGAGGTCATCTAGTCCAACCCCCTGCTCAAAGCAGGACCAATTCCCAGCTAAATCATCCCAGCCAGGGCTTTGTCAAGCCGGGCCTTAAAAACCTCCAAGGAAGGAGACTCCACCATCTCCCTAGGTAACGAGTATCAGTGG